CAGTACTGGGCAGCGCCACTCACCCTGTGAGTGGACACACTGCCATAGTGACAGTACTGGGCAGCGCCACTCATCCTGTGAGTGAACACACCACCACAGCATGAGTTACACATATCTCAGAGAGGCCGGGCGAGGCTTGGTGTTGTCTCCCTCTAAGGTCTGTATATCTAGTTGGTTTGAGGCGGGTAGTTCCTCCTGTCTACTGTTCTATTGGGCTGTCCCCTTGCCTACCTCTGTCTCACCGCACACCGTAATCATTCCTGTGAAGTGTACATGTGACGGAGAGGGATGTACGGATGTCTTACTGCGCCTGGAGACTTTAAACATCAACATTTCGAACTAGCGAGTGAAGCAGCCAGGCACTAGACAACCTCCCTTCATATTAGTTTATGGGGAAAGGTTTCAAGGCGCTGGTACTATAGTTAACGCTGAGACTCTGTGTTCCTGAATTACTCAAGACAATCATTAACTAAAACATTAACAAAGGTGACAGGAATTTATGCAAGTGGAGCGACAGAGTCACGCAGTAACAGGAGGATAATCCTGTCTTAAACACAGCAAGCATGGTGGTGTGTGTCAACACTATGTCATGTTAAACGTGTGTTCGTGCCGCCTGGGAGCGCTCAGTGAGACAGATAGCAGGCTCTAAACTTTGTATTTTACTGCTAGGATAGTTAAGACAAGTTCAAGCTGTATAATTGATGGTGAACACTATTACTTGAGAGCTCGGAGTTACCCAAGTGTTCATCATTGTACCATTGAGGGAGCAGCCAGTCTCGGAGAGAAATACTGGCATGAATTGAGTGGTACAACAGTGCAATGATCTTGAGGTAGCGTCGGTGGAAGGAACCAGTTCACAGCTTGAGGATAAGACAATTGCTGGAACATCTCATAAGCACTATCTCTCGTTCCTCGTGGCCACACAGCACCAGCTCTCACTCACCCTAGCAGGCAGCGAGGGTGTGTCGAGGCCTGGGAGCAGCAGCAGGATACACACACACCCTTCGTCAGCCCTAGAGAGGTCACAAGGAGGTCACAGTCCCCCTCGACCGTGTGGACAAAATGGGGGGTAAAGGGTAATTCTCCACCCCCCCTCCCACCTCCTCCTCGGCCACACCACACCTGGCTACCACTCCACACCACCTCCTCCACACTAATGTGCGCATTCACGCTGGAATAAAATTCTTCGGCAAGATTTAGAGCGATAATTCCAGCATGGACGGCCCATTAGAAGAGTGTAGGGCAAAGTTGAGAGGGCGACGGACCGGATATTTCATTGTAGCGGCGACGGAGGGCGGCCCTGGCGCCGGGGCGCTCCGGTGCCGCGCCTTCTTGCACCTCCAGTATCATGACTACTGCGCCCCTGCACTAGTGGGGGAGGATGAACACTGGTAGAGTTACTAGTGGTAGTTGTAGCAGCTGCGGAACTACTAGCAAAAGTAGTAGTAGAAGTAGCAACAGTAATTGCAAATCAATGATTAAGAATTTAATTCCACGGAATTAAAAAATTAGCTAAGTACCCCCCCCCTCCCCCAGTCTTGTGTGACAAGATGTGACACAGTAACAGGTCTCTGGCCTTCATGCTGGGGTTTTCTCTACCACAGACGTGGCCAGACATTTACAGTGCTAACCAGCATATATACATTTTCTTCTGTCCTCCATGGACAGGGTGAGAGATCTGTTAAACATATACTTCAGGGATTTATTGAACAGTCAACCACAGAAGGTGATTGTAGTGCCTATAAAATTCTAAGCTAACCTACATACAGAAATACATATATACACACTTATGTCTGTCCTACATAAACAGTGTTCGATGTGTTTTTCCACATAATGTCATTAATGTGCCTTTACAAAAGGTGAAATGCAATTCTGCCCAGCTTCCACATATCCTGTAAACACATATATACACACATACATAGTAGTAGTAGTAGTAGTAGTAGGCATCCATCAGTCTCAGGAGACTATGGAGTTGCGCTCTGGTGTCGGCCTGGCCTGGAGTGGCCTCACCAGGGCGCAAAGCCAGGGTAGGTTAATTCGGGGGAGAAGCTGTTACCCATGCAACAGGTCCCCCCCCCCTCTCCACGGCGCTGAAAGTCTCCAATGGAAAGGCATACACCAATACGATTGATACATACATACACATATACATACACTGTGGGTGACCACCTCCCCGCCCTCCTCACCAGTCAGTAGCTTCAACAACAAAGTTGCTTCGCCATTCCCGCCATCGCCTCGACACTTGGGTGGCGAGGTATTCACCAATGACTTCCTCTAGCATGTCGTAAGTCTCTCCAATCCCACCAAAATCGTGCTTAACTTTTCTTTTATTTTTGCAATTTTTTTGTAACTTATTTGCAACATTTTTGGAGTGTTCGTATGTATCATCGACTTTATTTATGTGTTGTATCTGTCATAAGCTTTATCTGGTTTGTTGTGCCTAGAAGAGACGCAGAGAGAGAGAGAGTGAGAGAGAGAGAGAGAGAGAGAGAGAGAGAGAGAGAGAGAGAGAGAGAGAGAGAGAGAGAGAGAGAGAGAGAGAGAGAGAGAGAGAGAGAGAGAGAGAGAGAGATAAGCACACTTACCTCTCCACATCGTGCATATTAACACTTTACAGCCACATCGTAACCCAAGCTGTAAAGTGCTGAGGCAAAGTCCAGAAAGAAAGAACAAAATCCCATAGAAAGTGCCAAATGAAAGCTTATCTGGAAATGAGAGAAACGGCAAATAAAAAGTATAAACAGAGAGAGAAAAGAAGAGAAATGGACAATGAAAAATATCAGAGAGAATTAAAATGAAAAAAAAACGTATTATAAACGCCAACCAGTTCAATAATCAAGATCAACCAAACAGAACTCAAAACAAAAGATAGCTACGCTTCGCCTGACACCGAAGCTGAAAACTCGACGTGGCGGGAAATTTGCTGGTATTCTCCACGTTGTAACCTGGAATTAACATGACGGCGCAAGGCAGCAACTCTGAGCCATTGCACGCACCCAGAACTGATACCGAGAGATGTAACTGAAATGTTGCACAGTGAAAAAAAAAAGATAACTGTCACTCATCCGGAGACGTCTCTCCCACGACCCCCACACTGTAACCCGGTGTGAGGTCGTTCCATCCCCTGTTCACCTGGTGATGTGTGCGTGTGTTAGAGAAATATGTGTAGTAGACAAAATAGGAGGGGAAAATAAATTGGTTAGAAAGGCGGGGTTCAAGACCTAATAGCTTGATTCTGCAAATACAAATAGGAAATACAAATAATAAATACACACACGCACACACACACACACACACACACACACACACACACACACACACACACACACACACACACACACACACACACACACACACACAACCCCATAAAAGGCTGATGCATAAGCTGGAGAAACAGGCAGGAGTAACTCGTAGGGCGCTCCAGTGGATAAGGGAGTACCTAAGCAATAGGAAGCAGAGAGTTATAGTGAGGGAAGAGACTTCAGAATGGCGTGAAGTCACCAGTGGAGTCCCACAGGGCTCTGTGCTTAGACCTATCCTGTTTCTGATATACGTAAATGATCTCCCAGAGGGTATAGACTCATTCCTCTCAATGTTTGCTGACGACGCCAAAATTATGAGAAGGATTAAGACAGAGGAGGACAGCTTGAGGCTTCAAGAAGACCTGGACAAGCTGCAGGAATGGTCGAACAAATGGCTGTTAGAGTTTAACCCAAGCAAATGTAATGTAATGAAGATAGGGGTAAGAAGCAGGAGACCAGATACAAGGTATCATCTGGGAGATGAAATACTTCAAGAGTCAGAGAGAGAGAAAGACCTGGGGGGTTGATATCACGCCAGACCTGTCCCCTGAAGCTCATATCAAGAGGATAACAGCAGCAGCATATGCCAGGTTGGCTAACATAAGAACGGCCTTTAGAAACTTGTGTAAGGAATCTTTCAGAACATTATATACCATATATGTCAGACCAATCCTGGAGTATGCGGCTCCAGCATGGAGTCCATATCTAGTCAAGCATAAGACTAAACTGGAAAAGGTTCAAAGGTTTGCCACCAGACTAGTACCCGAGCTGAGAGGTATGAGCTACGAGGAGAGACTGCGGGAATTAAACCTCACTTCGTTGGAAGACAGAAGAGTTAGGGGGGACATGATCACCACATTCAAGATTCTCAAGGGAATCGACAGGGTTGATAAAGACAGGCTATTTAACACAAGGGGAACACGCACTAGGGGACACAGGTGGAGACTGAGTATCCACATGAGCCACAGGGACGTTAGAAAAAACTTTTTTAGTGTCAGAGTGGTTGACAAATGGAATGCATTAGGCAATGATGTGGTGGAGGCTGACTCCATACACAGTTTCAAATGTAGATATGATAGAGCCCAGTAGGCTCAGGAACCTGTACACCAGTTCAGAGGCGGGACCAAAGAGCCAGAGCTCAACCCCCCCGCAAGCACAACTAGGATGAACACACAGAAGGTTCATCGCGACACTGTGGAACAAGAACATGGTTATTACGGAGCAAGGAGCAATTAGAACCCCGAGCCTTTGTCAAGGACTGGAAGGACGGGTTGATAGGCCAACAGGACTTCACCAACATGTGTACTGGGTTCGAGGCGAGTGGTCTACACTGTTTCCTGTGTCTGGCCGGACCTCTCTCTCTCTCTCTCTCTCTCTCTCCCTAGGTCCATCGACTAGCAGTGCGCGCTAGGTCCACCCAGGTGAGCGCCACGACAGGATTACGGAACACTATGCAAATTGCTGTCAATCTCAGCTGATTTGGCATATTACCCGGATGTAGGAGGTGGATGATTGAGGGATTGTGATGATTGAGGGAGGAGGGGTAGAGAGCGACTGAGGGAGGAGGGGTAGAGAGTGAGCGAGGAGGGGTAGAGAGTGAGGGAGGAGGTAATATATAACAATAATGTGCGAGTATGCATTCATTGTCGGCCGTGAGGTGGCGTTTTGTCGCTCTGGCGGAGGAATACGTCACGCCAGTTAGCGAACCACAGGCACGGAACGACTGGCAGTCACGCAGGTGTCGTACACCGCTGCCGGGTGTCGTACACCGCTGCCGGGTGTTGTACACCGCTGCCGGGTGTTGTACACCGCTGCCGGGTGTTGTACACCGCTGCCGGGTGTTGTACACCGCTGCCGGGTGTTGTACACCGCTGCCGGGGGTTGTACACCGCTGCCGGGTGTTGTACACCGCTGCCGGGTGTTATACACCGCTGCCGGGTGTTGTACACCGCTGCCGGGTGTTGTACACCGCTGCCTGGTGTTGTACACCGCTGCCGGGGGTTGTACACCGCTGCCTGGTGTTGTACACCGCTGCCGGGTGTTGTACACCGCTGCCGGGGGTTGTACACCGCTGCCGGGTGTTGTACACCGCTGCCGGGTGTTATACACCGCTGCCGGGTGTTGTACACCGCTGCCGGGTGTTGTACACCGCTGCCTGGTGTTGTACACCGCTGCCGGGGGTTGTACACCGCTGCCTGGTGTTGTACACCGCTGCCGGGTGTTGTACACCGCTGCCTGGTGTTGTACACCGCTGCCGGGGGTTGTACACCGCTGCCGGGTGTTGTACACCGCTGCCGGGTGTTATACACCGCTGCCGGGTGTTGTACACCGCTGCCGGGGGTTGTACACCGCTGCCGGGTGTTGTACACCGCTGCCGGGTGTTATACACCGCTGCCGGGTGTTGTACACCGCTGCCGGGTGTTGTACACCGCTGCCTGGTGTTGTACACCGCTGCCGGGGGTTGTACACCGCTGCCTGGTGTTGTACACCGCTGCCGGGTGTTGTACACCGCTGCCTGGTGTTGTACACCGCTGCCGGGGGTTGTACACCGCTGCCTGGTGTTGTACACCGCTGCCGGGTGTTGTACACCGCTGCCTGGTGTTGTACACCGCTGCCGGGGGTTGTACACCGCTGCCTGGTGTTGTACACCGCTGCCGGGTGTTGTACACCGCTGCCTGGTGTTGTACACCGCTGCCGGGGGTTGTACACCGCTGCCTGGTGTTGTACACCGCTGCCGGGTGTTGTACACCGCTGCCTGGTGTTGTACACCGCTGCCGGGTGTTGTATACACACGCCAGAGGTGTATACAACACCCAGGATAAAAGAAGGGAGAGGGGGGACATGATAGGAACGTATAAAATACTCAGGGGAACTGACAGAGTGGACATAGACGAAATGTTCACACGGAATAGCAACAGAACGAGGGGACATGGGTGGAAGCTGGAAACTCAGATGAGTCACAGGAATGTTAGGAAGTTTTCTTTTAGCGTGAGAGTAGTGGGAAAATGGAATGCACTTCAGGAACAGGTTGTGGAAGCAAATACTATTCATAATTTCAAAACTAGATATGATAGGGCAATAGGACAGTAGTCATTGCTGTAAACAACCGATGGCTGGAAAGGCGGGATCCAAGAGTTAATGCTCGATCCTGCAAGCACAAATAGGTGACTTCAAATAGGTAAATACACAGTTCTCTCGCTTAAATTTTCAAAAGAATAAAATGAAGAGAGAGGAAGTACAAGGGCCAACCTCTTGTCAGTATGTGAGGAAGGAGATCAGTTGTGAGCATCAAGGCCACGAGAGGACGTGGATGCTGCCTTATCACAGAGATCACCCCACGGGGGATCTTTATCTTGAGATGATTTCGGGGTTTTAGTGTCCCCGCGGCCCGGTCCTTGACCAGGCCTCCACCCCCAGGCCTACCTCATCCCTTTGTGTGTATTTTACCTCAATAAACTTATTTCAATTTCAATTTCAATTCCACCCCCAGGAAGCAGCCCGTGACCGCTGATTAACTCCCAGGTATCTATTTTACTGCTAGCTAACAGGGGCATAGGGTGAAAGAAACTCTGCCCATTGTTTCTCGCCGGCGCTCGCGATCGAACCCGGGACTACAGGATCACGTGTACAGCGTGCTGCCCGCTCGGCCGACTGGCGCCCTGTCCGGAAATATTTCGTCAATGTAGGGCCAGTAAGCAAGCGAAATTTTCACATGGAGGTCCACTACCTCCATCTCAAATTTTATAATCTGATTTGAAAAACAAATGAGTTCGATTCCATTGAATTAACAACCCAGAGTTGGAGAAGCAGGGCCCAGGAGTTGTTGTTTCTGTTAGATTCAGCTACTGGGAACAAAAAGTTGCAAGTAGCACGGACTATGGTGAGCCCGTAGTGGACTTACCACACACAGGAACGGGGCTGTAATTGCTGGAGCCCAGGAGCTCAAGTGTCTTATAAAATGGTCTTCCACACACACTTCAGGAGCCGGGAACCATCTCGTCACACTTTTCATTTAGCGTGTCTCTGAAAGTAGAGATTATACAAACATACACCAATAGGTGTATACCGCTTCTCTGTTTATATACACTTGAGTTTACTTTAGCCCTGATCAATGTTTATGGCAAAAGTATACTTTCTGGTGAGTCACAAAAGCTTCAGTGGTGGACTTAATCTATATCTACACTCCTGGGGCGCCCAGGGAGGAGGATTCAGTATCATTGTGTGGCCTCAAGACCTTCGGAGACCTACATGCAATGTTCTGGTGACGTCACTGCCTCCCGCGGCTGATGTAGGAGTCATCATCATCAGCCCAACACCAGGATGAGCCCATCAGTAGACATACGAGGACACTCATCGTCCTAGCCCAACTCATCGTCTCAGCCCGACTCATCGTCCCAGCCCGACTCAGTGATACCAGACCACAGCGTCAAGCCAGCCCCGTCGTCTCAACTAACACATTTTGCACCTTACGGTCCCCAACGTACACAATACAAAGTACTATGTCAAGCAACGCCTCACAAATACCCGCATTTTCTATGCATCGGTTGGTGAGGTTAGGTGGGTGGGTTGGGTTGGTCCGTTGTGGCAAATAGAGATAATTGGGCTGGTGGAGCAGGTCCTCTCCCCCCTCCCCCCCCTCACGTCGTAGTGGCTGTCCTCGTCCAATACATTACTGTCCAATTGAGCAATTAAGTCTATTTACTACATCATTGGATTGTTATATAGATACTAGCGTTATTCGTTGGTATGCGTTCGCAATTTAAACTGCTCATGTACTCACCTAGTTGTACTCACCTAGTTGTGTTTGCGGGGGTTGAGCTCTGGCTCTTTGGTCCCGCCTCTCAACTGTCAATCAACAGGTGTACAGGTTCCTGAGCCTACTGGGCTCTATCATATCTACACTTGAAACTGTGTATGGAGTCAGCCTCCACCACTACATCACTTCCTAATGCATTCCACCTGTTAACTACTCTGACACTGAAAACATTTCTTTCTAATGTCTCTGTGGCTCAATTTGGTACTCAGTTCCACCTGTGTTCCCCTTGTTCGTGTTCCACCCGTGCTAAAGTGTTTGTCTTTGTCCACCCTGCCAATTCCAAAGAGAATTTTTTAGGTGGTGATCATGTCTCCCCTTACTCTTCTGTTTTCCCAGGGACGTGAGGTTCAGCTCCCGTAGCCTTTCCTCGTAGCTCAGACCTCTCAGTTTTGGGACTAGTTTGGTGGCATGCCGCTGAATCTTCTCTAACTTTGTCTTGTGTTTAACTAGGTATGGACTCCAGGCTGGAGCTGCATACTCCAGGATTGGTCTGACATAAATGTTATTCAAGGTCCTGAACGATTCTTTAAATGCAGTGAGGTCCAGTTCTCCAAGTGTTTCACTGCAGCTCATTCCTCTCACTTCCGGGACCAGTTTTTAAGACAAATCACTGCACTTGGTCTAGTTTTATTCCGTGATTATTAAAGAAAGGATTCTATGCAGGCTGCATAATTGAGGACAAGTTTCACGTATATTGGACAGAGTGTTCTCAAGAGTTTGATTTACCTGAGTTTCTGAAGACTAAACACCAAAGGTAATGTTTACTTTTGATGTTTATATATTCTTTTGCAGTTACTGTCGACATAAGTGATCGTAAAGGAGGTATAATATTTGTGTAAGTGACTGTTAAAACAGAGATGTTCACACAACTGATATGCAACACTTGTGACAATATGACTTCTCCATGCAACACTGTGCAACGTCCCAGAAACAACCTGTACGGTGCCACCAGAGTCCCTTCACGACGCCGCCCCGCGCTGATGCACAAGACGATTCGTATAATAACAAACCATTCTCTTGCATTTAGGGACATAACGCCATGCTTGGACGCCAGCAAGCAGGGGGGGCCGTTATGTCACGCTTGCTCACCCTAATCATTACTAAATCTATTTTGTATACATTGTTTGTAAGCTCCCCGGGGCTCTACTTTCAGACCGCAGCCTGGTTAAGGAGAGCAATCTAGACACATTTTACGCAAAGCGGAACTAATGCTCATGAGGCCCACCTGAAGTGATGCTGGTAGCGCCGCCTCGTGTGTGTGTGTGTGTGTGTGTGTGTGTGTGTGTGTGTGTGTGTGTGTGTGTGTGTGTGTGTGTGTGTGTGTGTGGAGGGAGCAGATGGCTCGCCTCGGTCATATCGCTGACCACGTCTCAGACATATAGTCCAGAATTGCATGGTAGTACCTTTGTTTCTTGAGTGATAAACATGTACGTACGCGCGCTCGCGCTCTCTCTCTCTCTCTCCCTCTCTCCCTCTCTCTCTCCCTCTCCCTCTCCCTCTCCCTCTCCCTCTCTCTCATACCCAAACCACACATCAGAAAATGAGGAAACGACGATGTTTCAGTCCGTCTTGGACCATTATCAAGTCGTGTAATAGAGTGTGGAAGAAATAAGCAATATGAGGGAAAGATGTGATGATAAAGGTTAGGTAAAGATAAAGTAAAGGTTAGAAGTATGGGAAAGAAAAATGAAGGAGAATAGAAAAAAGAGAATAGGTAAAAGTTAAAAAGATAAAAAAATAAGAGAAATGAAACCGCATGAAACCTAATAATGAAAAGAAAACACTAGCAAGGAAAGAGACAGGAAAGAGAGACTAGCGGGGACAAAGCTTAAGTCAGGTCACGTTTGTTAAGAAGGTTGGAGCATCTTAAACATGTACTGTGAAAGGGAAGAGTCAACACCAACACAGCCAGGACTCAGGTTCCTGTTGGGCAACGTTGTGTATCAGAGCACATTTACCAAGACGCCGTCTGTGAAGAGCAGAGGAAGGGAAGATTAACAACACCAATCTATAGCACGATTGGAGTCCCTAACACTAATCTATAAGACGATTAGAGTCCCTAACACCAATCTATAGGACGATTAGAGTCCCTAACACCAATCTATAGGACGATTAGAGTCCCTAACACCAATCTATAGAACGATTAGAGTCCCTAACACCAATCTATAGGACGATTAGAGTCCCTAACACCAATCTATAGGACGATTAGAGTCCCTAACACCAATCTATAGAACGATTAGAGTCCCTAACACCAATCTATAGGACGATTAGAGTCCCTAACACCAATCTATAGGACGATTAGAGTCCCTAACACCAATCTATAGAACGATTAGAGTCCCCTAACATGACAGAAGAGAGCATTGTTTGTGTCTGGAGACTTAACACTTCTTTTGTGTTCCTTAAGTCTGTCATTTAGAGTACGGCCAGTTGCCCCGAAGTATTGGACAAGACGAACAGGAAGTAGACACCAGCAGC